TTGGAAAAGGGTGGTTGTTCTGGGATATTAGCAGAAAAAGGGGACAGGGGAAAACTACTCCAGAGTGAGTGAGCTGCTATTGGGGATTGTTTCCAAACCAGTATGATGGAGGGAGGCAATCCACAGCCTGCCCTCTTGATTACTACAAAAAGGAGGACAGATTTTATCTGAATTAAACAGGTCTGCAAGTAACAAGAACTCAAGCCATAATCAAACTTGTCATTCCAAAGTTTATTCTCCTACTATTCTTTTATTGATGCATACCAGATGCCATCAAAATAGGATATTTAGATGTTAATAGTGATGTGCAACACATCTCAGTTTGTGACAGATGTCAAATGATTTACATGTTCTCTGTCCTGGTTTTCTAATCATTTTCCCCTAACAATTTCATATCCTGTTATAGGCAAATGCATAGCCATACTCTGAGATATGATTTGGTCTGCAATTGTATAATTTTGCTTGCTTTTGTTATATTCTGTTACTGTCAGATAATTAATTCCACCTTATCAAGAGAGGAAAAAGAAAAATCTCCATGCTCTTTCCCAAGATAATAAAGAGTGAAGTGCGAAATTTTAATTACAATTTTCAAAAAGGATCTGAGATTGATGAAAAAATACTATACAATTCTGTTTGTACTTAAGTTGTAGAAGACTAATATAGATAAAAATTGGATCAATTAGTTAATCAATTCTATTTATCTGGGTTTCATTTGTTGTTGTTTAGCAACCTGTTATCTTCATAATTTCTTTGGTATGTGATATGTTACTAAATAAAATACATGCTTACTGTATTAGGATTTTCAAGAATTTTTCTTCAGAATTTTCCTCTTGAATTGCTAGTGTTTGGTGTTGTGTCCTGATTCAATAGGGCCAAGTACTCTGCTTTCACATTTTATTTCATTTATTTAATTATACTGCTTCTGGATTGTCCACTTAGGTTTTTGTTGCACCATGCTCCTCTCAAAATTAGCTTTGCTTTGAAACTTTATGTCCCTTTTTACTTCCAGATAGAAGGTAGAATAAAGGCTTTTCATCAGGTGTCCTGGTCTTTTCTCTTCTGGTCTATTTAGTTGCAAGCAATCCATTCTCTGTGCTGGACAAAGGAAGAAAACCTTCACTGGTCTATTTTGACAGATTTATATATTATTCACACCCAATATGTCTCCAATGACTGCTCCTTCACATTTAGTCTCTATTTTATCTTTCTTCCCCAAGCACAAATCTTTTACCTTCCTTTTGTATAGACAAAATGCAGCTGCCCTTTAAAGTTCTGTCAGACATTTTATCCTAACAATTATACTTTTAAAAATGTTGCCTTGCCTTCCTGGATCTAGTCTGGCCTTGCCTTCATTGCTTTTAACACAGTGTTTGGTTTTTTGAACTGGATCCCATCATTTATTTTTTAATGATAAAAAATGGTACAGTAACATTATATAGAAAATAAACAAATAGTAATTAGCAATGATCCATTGCAATTCTCTAAAACAAAATCACATTTACCAGTAGGAAGATAGACGTGATGTGCTTTAAAAGTAGAATCTATTAAAACAAAATGATGGAAATACGTTAATAATTACACTAAAATGGTATTCTATCTGCTCAGTTACAGTCTTGAATGTTCTATTTTAAACTGTAAAAGGCCAGAAACAGCCATAAATGTTCTTCCATTAAAATTAATTTCCCTTTCATAAATGTTAACTTTTTTCAGAGTATGTCTTTCAGGGGCTTAATTTGTTAACTGAGCAGTTGCCTGTCATGCAAGTTTTCCCAGTCACAAATCTGCCACCTCAGTTAAAAAGTATTCTTTCTGTCATAGCCCCATCGGAGCCTGGTTCGGAGGAGGAGTTGGAACTGGGACCATATGACAGGGTTGGCACATCTCCCTTGCCATGTCTGGAGAGGCCAGGGGGCTGAGGATGCTGCTGTCCCAGGCCCCTCAGGCATTGCGGGAGGTGCCAACGAGACAGAGAGCTGCCTGCCCTCACAAACACAGGGGAGGATCCGCTGCTGACAGGCAGAGGTGCTAATAAGCAACAGATCCCCTTTGAAGAGGGACAGCTGCCTCCTCCACTCGATCTAAGGGCAAGGAGAGTGGAGCATGGGCAAGTTCAGAGAAGGGCTGCAAGGCTACTTGGAAGGTTGCTCCACCCCTCCTCCCAAGGAACACCTTGAGTGGAGTGACTTAAGGAGAAGCCATGGGGAGTTAGTGTTTGCCAGGAAAAAATGTTTGCTTTGACTGGTGCCTTGAGCCTTTTTTTCCCCAAAGCCTTGAGGACTGTCTCCTGCCTTTTATCTTGTACCTTGCCCTTGCTCAAGGATTGCTTTTGCTCTTTGCTTTGCCTAGCCTTGAAGATCTGCCTTTTGCATTGTGCCTTGTCTTTGCCCTGAGGACTGCCTTGACTTCGCATTGTGGACTAGTTTGCCTTGTGGATTCACTTAGCTAGGTGGACTGGACTTGGGACCCTGGACCTTGCCCTGTGAGTGTGCTCTTACTCTGTGGACTTTCTCTGTTATATACAGACTGTTGTTTGGGGATTGAGGATAGCTGCCTTCAGAGCAGCACAGGGTGGAGCCATACTGGTTGTTAGAGGACCATTTGTTGGAATGTTTTCTTAGAACAATAAAAGACTCTCCAGAGGCCTGCCTTGCCTTGATCACCTGGGCCATAACACTTTCTGGATGCAATAAGTGCTAGTTCTATTGACAAGGCAGACCAATGATTTTTAACTAAATAAAATAATTTTATTTTTCTAAGTTTAATTGTAATAGATCAGGGCTTTTCAACCTTTTCACCCATTGTACCGTTTTTAGGATATGGCAACATACGAGTACCACCAGTCGCCTAGCAAGGTGTCACAAATTTGACCCCCCCCAAAAAAGGAAAAAAGTGATACAACAGCCTTGAAGTTACAATGGCACTGAAAAAGTGCCCCCCAAGCCACAGCCGAGCAAGACACCTGCCTGCCCACCTTCCCTCCTTTCTGAGGTTTTCATTGTTGTGAGCATTTCTGTTAAGGATTGGCAGTGGGGGTGGGGTGGGGGGATGTTTGGTTTTTATTCCCCCCATCATCTGCTGGGTGGTTGCAGGTTTTGGTCACGTCACATGACACTGGGACCGTCATAAATATGAATCAGTTGCCAAGCATCTGAATGTAAATCACAAGACCTTGGAGATGCTGCAACTTTCCAGCTGATTGGTGCTTGTTCAGGGCTGAGCAGAATCTCAAGGATCAGCGCCAAGCTCCAGCTGGAGCCTGGCGCTGATCCTGGTGCTTTCACTAAGCCCTGACAGCCCTGAATAAGCGCCAATCAGCTGGAAAGCTGCACTGATCCTGGCGCTTCCGCTGAGCCCTGACAGCCCTGCAGCTCCAGCCATCTCTCGCTCAGGCTTGTGCAGCATTGGCACCGGGCAGGTAGTACGCTACCACTTTTCTAGGATGGTCACGTACCACCTGCCAGGTGCCAATGTACCACAGGTGGTACCCGAACCACTGGTTGAAAAGCCCTGTAATAGATAATTCATTGAAGTAAATGCACTTTTTGAATATAGCATCTTCAGATGCCTGTATAATCCTTGATTTGGGGATCGAAACTGAACACATTCAGAGAACATCAGAATAGGTAAAGCTGGTAATTTCTGACATTATAAATAGCTCCAGGATTGAGGTTTTAAAAATATTTCTAGCTATCTTTTTTCTGTATTAAAATCAGAAGATGGTACATACAAACATGAGTATTTTTTGAAGGTATCATCCTTTCAAAATTAAGATATTAAGCATGTCAAATGATGGTTCTTATCACATGGAAGTTAATAAAGAATATGAACAGCTGTCGGTTTTATCAAGAAATGGCCAGAGTCACCTACATATATTAATAAAATGAAATTACAACTATTCATTTAGCGACTGCTCAGTTATGATGGTGCTGAAAAAAGTGACTTGCAACTGCTTCTCATATAACTATTGCAACATTCCCATGTCACAATATGAGTGCTTAGCAACCTGCATTGTGCATATATTGGATTGTTGCAGGATCCCAGGCTCACGGGGTGACCATTTGCAATTTTTCCAAATGATTTTTGACAAGCAAAATCAATGCGGGAAGCTGGATTTACTTGGCTGTCTGATTTGCTTAATGACCATGGCAAAAGAGGTCATAAAATCAGCCGTGGTCTCATGATGACTCATTGCTTAGCGATGGAACTTCTGATCCCAGCTGTGGTCATAACTCAAGAACTACCTGTATAATAATTGTGCCATTTTCCATGAGTCTAGTCACAATTAATCTTCATATTTAGAATATGGCTCTGCTTTTATGGTTACCACAAAGACTGCATCAAATAATGTAATTCATTTATGAACCCATTTCTTTCTGCTTGTTGGGAAAGACCAAGTTTTTATATTCTCTCTCTCTCTCTCTCTCTCTCTCTCTCTCTCTCTCTCTCTCTCTCTCTCTCTCTCTGTCTTTCACACACACACACACACACACACACACACACACACACACACACACACACACATTGAAACTACATACAGGTAATGCAACCTACTTTTCTACTGCAAATGGATAATGTTTTGATACAAAACACTGAGTAAGCAAAAGAGAAATATGTGCCATTTGTTTTCCATCACCAAAAATTTTCTGAAGAAAAGAATAGTCTGTTTGTTCTGGAAATAAATTAATATTAGTTCTGGTTCAAGTAACTAATATTAAATATAAATCATCCAGGCAGCAATGTTTAAAACCAAGTGTGACAAATGAATTTTGCTGCAAAAACATGTTAAGAAATATAAATGATGTGCAGGTTTATTGCAATACTAGATACTTCCCAAGCTTCAATTTAAAACATACATACACACACACACACAAGCCCATTTTGTGAAATGGAAATGCTGTTTTCCATGAATAAAGACCTGTAAATAACAACTGCCTTCCCATTATAAACTTCCATTTACTTGACTGCATTACTCTACTACTTCATAGCTCAGAAGCATGTACTTGGGTATTACAAATTTATTTAAGGTTTCCCTTTCATGAATACAAATAATATCCTATATAATAAAAGAGGCATATGTACTTTTTACATTGAACAAGATCTCTCATTACACAATGCAGATGAAGCTGCTGAAACATTGCTACATAATATTGAGGTGATTTCACTAGGACTCTCCTTTCACCCTTAGCATTAACTATCAAAAGCCCTTGTCTCAAATTCATAGCAAGATAAAGTTTTTTTGTTTCTATGTGTGAAATTATAATGCTATTGCATATCACTTTGTTACTGCATTTTAAGGACATTCATAACCAAATACAGAAAATAAATCATTAAAAGCAAGATTTCTTCAACCTCACCTTTAAGTCAAAAGCTCGAAGGAAATAGAAACAGTTCACAGAGAAGTTTGGGAAGACATAACATTTGTTCTTACAGACCCTTCCCCGCATTCTAGAAATCAGGAACTAGGAAACTAGAATTTCAGCAATTGGCTAATTCTGCTTCATGTTAAACAGAGCTATCTCAGTTGGAACATTATAGCATGGTTAAAGGTAAGAACAATGTAGGAAGAACTTGTAGCATGCCGTCACTAAGAAATCAAGTAGTATTATATCTGCACTAACTTCTGAACAGATTATTTAACTAGCATGAAATTTTAAACCAAAATTGCAGTGGTGGGTTTCTCTGAGTCACATAATTGTAGCCCTACCTTATAAATATGTCCTTTAAGAACAAGGAGATATTTCTAAAAACCCACTAATCTTTAATAGAGCTGTGTGAAGAGTATTAACTCTTAAAGATACAGTAAAGCAGCCACATCCTCTGGAATGCTCATTATCCAATTGTTTGAAGGTACAAAGGTAGCAGTGACAACACTTCAATTCAGATTACCCTGTAGAGACAGCTGAAGTCTGTCGTCAAAGTAACTGTATGAACCTGCTAGAGCAGGGGTCCCCAAACCCCGGTTCATGAACCGGTACCGGGCAGTGGCATGCCAGCAACTGGTCTGCACAAACAAGCAAAGCCCATCCATGAGATGCAGGCAGCATACAAAACCACACTCCCTCTGGTCCGTGGAAAAACGTCTCTCCACTTAACCGGTCCCTGATGCCCAAAAGGTTGAGGACCTCTGTGCTAGAGGGCTTTGAGCAGAGGTGCTTTGTTTGCATAACAAGGCTTTGCAAAACAACTTTGTCAACTGTTTTGCTGGATCTTCTTCTTATTGCATTATCAGCAATAGAAAACAATTGAACTCATGAGCAATTTGACATCACAGCACCACTTAATTTAAACAGCCAATGAAAGAAGCACAAATCTTTACAGCAATCTGGAGGATATTCTTTGGGACAATGCCCACTATTTACTGTGTTCCAACATAGCGGTGTCAAAACAATCAAATATCTACAATGAAACGATGATACAGAAAACAATTCACATAACTCCTTAATAACACTAAATCACAATTGTATTGCTGAAAACAATTAAGGGAAGTACTGGATTTCTTGGGAGTCTAGTTGAAATAAATAAAGCAGCAGCAGCAGAAGAAGAAGTGGAATACATAATCCAACAAACTAATAAACGCTACAAAACTTGTAAAAATGAAAGTTTCTGCAGTTTATGAAAGAATGTTTTGTTCCCCTCAGCATAGGAAATTTATTATTATCTAATAAATATGGAAGGTATGAAAGTTAAATATAGGATATCTTACATTTTGTTTATTCTGGAAAAGGCATTAAATTAAAAAAATGTAATTCTTCAGTAAGAAAATTATATTATGGATGATAATTACTCTAAAAATCTATAGAAGTTCAAAAATGTAGCAAACATAGCATTTCACAGCTGTACCAAATTCTGTTGTATATGGTTTGCAAAGATTGGACAGGAGAAATCACTTCATGTAGAAAGCCACAAATATATAGAAATTCTCAAAAAGGAAAACAAATACATGACATTTTGCCACATCTATTTACATAAACATTTATCAGAATGGACACACTAATTAATTACATGATTCAAGCCGTACCAAAACAAAACAAAAAATCTGAGTAATTTAAAGGCTAATGGAAGCACTGCTTGCTGATAATTCTTCATTCAGCGAGAAAGCTTGTAAACAATTAAGATATATATTTTTACAATTTATAGTCTTAGGAGAAAATAGATTTCTGGTTTGTCATCTTCATTTGGCTTGGTGTCTAAAAGAGAGTCATCTGTACAAAACCGGTCACTGTATCCCAAATGCAAAGATGAGCAGGCACCTTCTGGGACCCCTCTGCGTTCTAGGTCTTCTGTGTTGAAGTTATCTAGATAGCTTGCTATATAAGATCCAGTAGAATGCCTATTGATATGAGGTGGTACTGGGGGCTTATTTCGAAGGACTATGCCTGCTACATTACTGCTAACATTAGAAGGTTTTTGTTTATTGGCTTCTTGTCGTTCCTTGGCACGGCTAGCGATATTTCTCACTCTACTCTGACTTCTGGATGACAATTTTCTGACCAGCATTTTGGGGCAGTCATCATTTTGTTTAGAACAAAATGACTGGCAACTCTCTTCTTGATCAAAAGACACAAGTTTTCGCAGTTGTTCGGTCAGAATGTCTGTAGTCGATGGTTTCTTGGCCTTCAGAGTGGCCACCATGTTGTCTCTCATACCAGAAGTAATAAAACCTCTACTAATGTATTTGTACTTGCTCTCAAAATTGCATGAGATATCTTCTGAGGTTAAGTCACCAAGACTTTTTGATTTGCAAGGGCTCTGTTGCTTTTGAGCTCCAGGAAAGGGTGAAGGCACAGTATTTTGGGGCTTAAGAGCAGCATTTATGCTGGTTGTTTGAGGAATGTTTAACAATTCATTTTGTACATCTTGCAAACAATTATTGTACAAGAGTTCAAACCTCTGCTGGCGTGGGTATGGAAAATACTGATTGTTATCATTGTTAAACTTTAGATCTTCAACTAGATTTTCACTGTGAAAGTCCATGCTCTTTAGGGGTTCACCTATAGTTTTGTTATAATATAGTGTATCCTGACTTTGCTTAAGTTTCAAAGGAGAAGCAACTTGGCTCATATCTTCTATCTTATATTCGAAAGCGGTTATCAAGAGGTCTTGTAACTCCCCATCAATTTCCATTAGACTACTGCCTGTAGAATTTGCACAAGTGACTGGGACAACTATTGTATTCTGTATGTCAGAAGTATAGGAGTTGCTATTGCTGAGAAATTCCCAGCTTGTTCCACATTTTCTTTTAGGATTTGCTTTCTGCATGGTGACAGGTGAAACACAGGAAGTGTTTACACAACTATCTTTTGCATCCTTGATTGTATCTTTGCAAACAGATGTATCCATTAATGCCGGCTGAGAAACTGGAGAAAGAGAAGCCTCGTGGATAATTGTGTACAGAGAACTCCCTGCCGTCTTAGGGGTGGATATCATGGTATTTTCTGCTCTTGAACCAGTTAAACAAGCTGAACCAGCTAATTTTAAGGTTAAGGACTTATCATCCAAAATGACGCTTTGTTCATTTAGTGATGTACATGGTAGATGTATGCACTTTAAAATATTGTTTTCTTTATTAATATCAGAGGGACTTGAAACAAGAGTTAAGTCAATTTGGTCACTTGTGACATCAACTTGTTCTATCAGCTTTGAGATAGAATTATCCCTATCTCTCACTTCAGCTAGAGAGACCTCATTAATCAGATGAGAAATGTCACTATCTGGTATAGCTGGTGTACAATTAAAGTCACACACATCATAAGAAATAGGAGGCGATGATTCAGCTGATGACACATTAGTTATTGTTGTATTTAAAATTGGGTAGGATTCCATATTAGCTTTTTCATCTGCTGGAGGAAAAGAATTTCCTGCTATTTTCCTCTTTTCTTTACAAAATGCAGTTATCTCCAGTGTCTTTGGATCCAAGCAGCTTTTGTCGTGTTTTTTTCTTTCAAGATCTTCCTTTACATGAACAAATTCGTTGGGAAGATTACTTTTCCAATACTCGGTGGAGAAATAGGTTTCAGCTATCCCAATTGCAAAGTTTAGGTTCTCTCCTTTTTCATCCGGACAATATGTATCACTTTTACCAGACTTGGGTACATCTTTCTTAGGCAGGTGTGAAAACTCAGTAAAAGATGAATTGTTCTCAGAAGAGGTGATGGTTTTCTTCATATTTGTACAGTCCTCACTTATATTGTTTCTGCTTTCTGCTAAATCAATTCAAATAGAAAACAAAAACAAAAATTTAGTTATAAATATTATCTTACTTGCTTATGATTAGTCTATCCACAGAGAAATGGAGAATGTAAAATCAGTCACAGTTGTGGAAAAGAAATTAATTATGTGAGTGTGTATTTACTATGAATTATCCATGTGATGTGAAGAAATGGAAAAATATATAGTGGGAGGCATTTCACTGAAGTTTTTCTTCAATGCTTTATTACATCACTGCAATCATGATGTAATATTTGTATAAAGAAAGTCAATGAGGTATCATAATCTAGACATGTGGAATTACCTTCAGCTGTATTCCTATTCAGATTTGTACTATAAAGGAGCATGACAAACAAAGACAGAATAAAATAGCTCTGTTAAAACACCATCTGTAAACAAGAGGCATATTTATCAGAACTCTTGAATTATACACCCAAAACTTGCACTCCATGCATCAGCAAGATTCCTGTATTGTTAATAATATACAAATATTTTGTTTTCCCTTTACCTATAATACGAATTAAAATATATGCTAGACTGCTCTTTATAGCTTTTGTGAATTACCAAACACTTTGCATTAATATGGAGTGGAAAATTTATTGTAATAGGTGCAATGTATGAAGGACATTAAAACTTATGTGAAAAGGAAAGACTGGTTCAATACTGAGCAGAGAATAAGACAAGAATTTATGATGTTCCTTGGCTGTGTAAAGTATTGATGGATTAATCTATACTGCAGTTACTTGAGCTACTTCTTCTATTGAAAGTCTGAGCTCAGTGCATTGAAAACCTAGTGCTGGTGGTAAAAACAGAAGGGGGTTGTGGGAATTGCAAATGTATATGTTATTGGTTGACACTTTGAATGATGTGCAGTGAATATTAGCTAGATTATATAACAGAGCAGCAAATATGGGTCTGAAAATTAATGTAGACCAACAAAGCTACAGTTGATACATAAAATGGAATAACAATTGGAAGTTGTTTAAGTATATGAAGGAGAAAAAATAGAGCAAGTAGATTAATTTATATACTTTGGGAGAGTGTTTAGTAAAGATGGGGAAAGGGAAACATGCAAATGCTGGTAAAAAGATAATGGATGGGAGTATTTAATGCATGGTATGTGGTCTGTTGTAAAAAGAAAAGTAACAATGGCTCTGATTAGGAGCATTCTTCTGTCCATTATGTTATATGGAATTGAAAGTGAGATATGTCAGACGAGATATAAAAACAAGTTGAATGCAGCAGTAATGGCATATTTAAGATGGTAAAACAATAAGAATGAATGAATGAATGAATGGGTAATGAATGAATGTAGATTGATTAGAAAAGTGAGGGACTAATATAAAAGAAGTGCAATTAGGTGATTTGGTCATAAGGAGAGAACGAATGAGGATATTTCAAACGAAATATATGAAAGAGTGAGTAGTAAAAAAGGAGAAGACCAAGATTGTAGTGTTGCATGGAGTTAATGAGACTTTCAAAAAGAGAGAGGTAAAATGTTTACAGAACAAAAAGCAATGAATTGATATAGAGGAAACAAAGATGGTTTGCAAGGATAGAAAAGTATGGAGAGATACAATAAATAAAGTTGTTTTGAATTAAATTTAGTGAGATTTCCATTTCTATCTTGAATTTAATTGATTTTGCTCACTGCTCATCATTTTTCTGGGCTCTGCATCATGTGTCTTATTTCAAAATGAAATAGTATGTTAGGTGTATAATCAGGTATGGTGTTTACTTATATATGTCCGTACATTCTAGCAGACTAATTTCCAAGCAACATGCATAGAACTGACTTGAACAAAAATTCAAAATGTCTCCAAATTATTATCCTGAAAGCCTCCTAGTGGGAACTCACCGGATGTACTTTCACTTTTGATAACTTCAACAATTCTGCTAGCATCCTGGTCTGGTGGTGGCAATCCTGCCAGGAGATATTTTTCAACTGGCATGGAGATGGGACGCAATTGTAAACTTCTGCTTGCTTGCCTGTAACCTCCTTCCTTCTCTTTCAAGTCCAACGTCTCAGATACACTTTCCTTGAGGTCAGTGGTCTCTTGAAAGCCAATTTTGCTTTTTTTCCTGCCCTTTGCTGGAGCGCTGGCTGTGCGTCGAAGGATTCGGTCCCCGAGTGATCTTTTTCGAATATAATGAGTGCTGTTTTCCATTGAATTATGTTTGGAGTTCTTATTAAAAAGCCCTCGGAGTCCTATTAGTTGCTTGTTCTGGAAAAAAAGAGAAAATGGGAGAGGAGAAAAGATTTACAGTTTTTTGGGAGTGAAATGGCCTGTTTTACATAAAGGAATTTCTAAATTGCTGTATTTGCACACATTATCTGAGCAGTGACTGATAGGAAAATCGCAAGCAAATCAAGGAAAGCTGTCAAATGAAGCAAGTCTACATTTAGCTGATCAAAACAGGTGAAGCTCACCGTGAATTCATGCACATATTAGAAAAAAAAAGGAAGCAGCTTGCCTTGAAGCAAAAGAGGTTTTACAAGACACTTCCTAATTGCACATGACAAGCTTGCAAGACATTTCCTTGGGTGAGAAGTTAGCCTGGCCCAAAAGCATATATTTTATCACATGGGACCTTCAAAGCAGCAGCACAAACTTTCAAATGCTTGATGAGAAATAAAGCACTATGGCAGTAAGGGATCATGCGACTCAAAAAGCCTCCAAAAAGGGAGCGGGGAAAAGGCACCCAGCCAGTGCAAAATTGCATGCTAAATGAAAGCTACCTTTGTGGCTCCTAGAAAATGCATGATAGTATAACTGGGATTGAGGATTAAAGGACTCCACTGAAAGGAAAAAAAAAAAAAAAAAAAGCAGAAATGTCGAACTCAATTTCTTTATTTGGATCACAAGAAAATATGCATCTTATAGTAAATTATTATTGCAGATAAATGTCAGGGCTGCTTTTGACATTCCACTGCTTCCTTCAGGTGACGGTTGCAGTGTCCCAGGATCATGTGATCCCCTTTTGCAACCTTCAGACAAGCAAAGTCAATGGGAAAGCCACATTCACTTAACAACCAACTTAAAAACTGCAATGATTCACTTAACTACTATGGCAAGAAAAGTTGTAAAATGGGGCAAAACTCACTTAACAAATGTCTAACTTAGCAACATACTTTTTGGGCTCAATTGTGGTCGTTAAGTCGAGGACTACCTGTACAGCCTTCCTGTTAAGATTTCTACTTCCTGGAGAAAATTTCCTTTTTGTTGTTGTTAGTTGCGAAGTCATGTCCGACCCATCGCGACCCGATGGACAACGTTCCTCCAGGCCTTCCTGTCTTCTACCACCTTCTGGAGTCCATTTAAGCTCATGCCTACTGCTTCAGTGACTCCATCCAGCCCCCTCATTCTCTGTCGTCCCCTTTTTCTATTGCCCTCAATCTTTCCTTTAAATCTTTAAATCTTTCCTTCAAAGCAACATATGTCAAGTGTTCATAGCTCTCTTTCTCATACACATCTGTAAATTATGGCCCGAAAATAAAGATGACAACTCATGAAGGACCAAGTCAGAGATTCCTTTGCAAAGCAGCTACATCCCTAGCAATCTTCAGGATGGCTGTTAATAACTAATGGGTAGCATTTCAAATGCTGCAAAGTTGTCTGGCTAATCTCTGTACTCAGAGCATTCTAAAAAACAGAGAATAAGAAACTTCAGGGGAGAAGATTTCTTAACATTTCTTCAAGCTTGAAATACCCATCTATTTTTGTATTCTTTTAATAATGATCCAAGTCAAGAATCAGAGTTCTAGATTCATGGAGCAATAATACAGGGAGGTGCACCAAGCAAAAGGAAGAGAAGCTCCTCAAAATAAGAAACCAAGAACTCTCTCTCTGATCTTTAAGCAGACAGGGGAGAAACAAGTAAAAGGAGGACAATGATTACTAACATCAGCACTAAGATAATTCAGTGAACTAGGCTGTTTAAGGAAGCAAGGAGTCCTGTGATGTAAAATGGATTAATGAGTGCATCCTAGAAAATGTACTGTGCAAAATCTGATTTTATCAAATTGGAGAGGGCCTCCTTTGCACATTGCAATGCTGGAAAGTATTTTTTGTTGGTTTATGAAACTGAAATTGGCTGAAATGTGATACCATTATTGCCACAACAAACTAGAGAATCTCTGGTTCTTCTTCTCTCTTGAATCATTAAAATAAAGTTGCTTGAAACAATTAAAACTGCATATTTAGGCATCAAAATCATGAAGCTAACTGGAAAAAGTTTATTATTCCCAAATCATAGGTTGAATTCAGATACAATGGTAACCCTTACTGAACCACAGTTAGGATCAGCTGAATCCATTTAATAAATAATAAATCACAAGATTCAATCTTCTTGTGGCTGCACCAAAGAAAATGTGACATACAATCCTGAAGTTTACTGTGATTTACAGCCTAAGTAAATCTAAGTCTGAATTTACCTAGGCTGTCATCTTTAACAATAAATCAGAGTTCAGAATTATAGCTAAATATAGTCAGCAAAGATAGTCAATAGTTTATACTGTCTTTCATAAATGCAACTGCTTTGCAATGATAGCAACTCAAGTACCTTAAATATTGTTGCTGGGGACACAGAAAATATCAAAGTCATTTCAATTCCTTATTTGCAAACTAATGCTTTCAACTGGCCAGTGTTTTAGATTGGGGAGTTTTTTGTAGCTCACTTAGAAATACCAAAAATTGAACAGAGGACTATCTGCATGACATGATAGTCTATTGTGCTATGGCCCCTAAGCAACTAAAATATTCTTTTTTAAACAGAAATTAAGAAAAAGCAGTTTGCAAAAATAAATTCTTTGCCATTTTAAAACTTAAACTAAGTTTTAAAATTTTCCAAATTCATAAACATAAGAGAACAGCAGCAGCTTTGCTTTAAAATTGATTCAAACTAAGCACAAAGCAATTATCTTGAAAAGAAAGAAATTCCAGTGAAGAAGTATTTTTGCAGTTCAATTAGAAATGAGTGCTAAATCACCCCAATGAGGCTGCCCCTAATTTTGCATATTAATCCCAAAATGGGAGAATCAATTTAACTTTTTAAATAAAGACATGGATGTGATAAGAAAAAGTAGGTAGGTAGGTAGGTAGGTAGGTAGGTAGGTAGGTAGGTAGGTAGGTAGGTAGGTAGGTAGGTAATAAATGTTCTTATAAATATTTGGGCACAGTAATTTTCCGAGCAGCAAAATAATAAATTATTTCATATCTAAGGTAAGCTAGCATCTATTAAGACGCAACTAATGTCACTTACTTCAATTATAAGCACAAAGAACAATTCATGGCTTTGAAACGTAAGTCTGATGCCCTCCAGACTTTGGGAGTGCCAGTATATTGGGAGTGCCAGTATATCTGGAGATACGGCACTGGTGAATTGTATCTTAAGTATAAGAAACTCAGTCAAGATTTGAACATACTTCAGACATTTTCACTTGGAAATCAGAAGGCTGAAGAATGCTAATGTCAGTCTTAACTGTTCAGTGTGTAGAATGAATACTTATCTCTTACCTTTCCATAAATTTCATTGATGGTTATATGAACAAAAATTGACGCTTCAGTCAGTCCTTCTAAGTAAACATGACGATAACCTGGTGAAGGTGAACATCATCAACATTAAACATTATATTTCATAATTAAAATGCTATCCTGCAATTGTCAACGCTGCTAACATTGGATGTTCTTGCTTTGACAACAGATAGAAATGTAGCCATCTTTTCTCTATCGCTTTTAGAGTTCGTTGATGCTGGGGGGGGGGAGAATGTGGATGAGAGTCCAGCTAGTCATAACAATAATAACTCAGCCGTGGGAACCCAAGGTTATTAGGTCCAGAGTTGATAGAAATTTGGTAGTCAGGAAAGATGGGGAAAAAGCCCGCACTTCAAGTTAATTGGGGAATGTGATTTATAAATGTTAATTGGAGGAGGGAATTGCACTTTGCTACTTTGTGCCAGGGGAGGGGAATTCAGTTTTTGGCTTCAACTATGTAGTGCCGATACTTTGTTTCTTGAATAAAAGATTTTTTAAGGAAAACAATGCCTCGAAGTTCTTTTGAAGAGATTCATCTGTTGGAACCATGACAGCAATGTTATGTGTGGAATAGTTCACATGAGATGCCAGACTAGATTACAAGGTTGGGTACGTATTCTGCTGGAGAGAAGTTCCCTGAAAATGAGCTCCCGCACAAGTCTGAAAGATTGGAAGACTAAATCTCTAGTCCCAATGACCGATCCAGATTGGATCCTGCAACATTATCCTGGGCACATATATTTGGCTTCATTCATGAAGGTTGGGTAGTTTTGGGTTCAGGGGTGTTATGGGAGCTCAGTCGCTATCTTTGCATATGGAATAAAGCTAGTGCATCAAATGAAGTCATAATATGATTTGTTGGTTTCAGCATCATGTTATATAACCAGATCATATTTTATAGTAGCATGGTGTAGGAATCCAGCAATGACAACCTAATAAAGGACAAAAAGGATGATTAGATGATGGAAACAAATGAACTAAGAAAAACGTCAGACTCAACCTGCAGGTGTGAGGAGTGTGAAAGTGTATTTTTTTAAACAAACTATTATACAATTGGAAAAGTATGTTTTAACTAAAGTAGGTTAGCAATCAAGAGTTTCAGCCATTTTTTGATTCTGATTAGCTCAATCTGGGTTAATGAGACTAAACTCTCCAAATTCAAATACAGCATAGAACTGCTTGTTCTATACTTGTTCATTTTCAACTTGTTGCAGAGAATGGAAGGATGGGTGTTTTAAAACCTGCAATTTGATGAAGATTATTTCTGTAAACTGATATGCGGTTCTGCTATCTTCTAAATGTTACTGTACAACCCCCAGGAACACCAAATAGCATCTCTAATAGTGCAAGGCAAGGGCATGAATGCAAAATATAGAGGTTAAGCTTAAATATTTATTTGATTTGTTAAGAGTTACACCCCACCTTTTGTATAGGAGCACAAGGCAGCATACATGGAGTTTTTTCTTATTTTTCCTTCACAACAAACCTGCAAGGTAGATTGACTGGAGAATGATTGCCCAAAATCATCTAGTGAGCTTCCGTGTCTAGTTCGGTGCCTAATCAATACACCACAATAGTCTGAACTAAACTGAACAACTAGAAATAGGAATTCTGGTTGAGAAGATTTCTGTGCTGATTTTTACAAATCAGAAGAGAAAGAACAATTAAGATTATTTTTATTAATTAACACACTGTGCAACATTTATTCAATGAGTGGACTTGACTAATAAATATTATCAATAGATCTGCAATCCCAATCTTAAGTGGCTATAAAAGACTGCACTATATTAGTGAAAACTATCTTCACACCAATCAACATACAAGGTCTGTCCTTCTTAGGTTTAGTTTTCCATCTCAGCAAGGGTAATGGTTTTTCTTTGTTTGCTCTACGTAATTTTTTTCCTCTCAATTCCTTAAGAGATATGAGGAACACAACTGGAGTTCCCACACCATAGACTGTGAAAAGATATTCATTTCACCTGCTAGTGAAGCAGCTAAAGAAAACAGAGAAAAGCCAAAGGACTCACCAGGCATCAAGCTGCTAAAAGTCACAGTTCTTTGTCCCACAAAATCTCGGCCAATGGGGTCATGATCCCAGACTAGAAATCGAACCATTGCTATTTCAGGCATGTGGATAGTGAAAGTCAGGGTTTCTTCCCAAACAGGATTGAATCCTATGAAGAGCAAAATATATAGTACCAAATAGCACGGTACCATTAATAAGAAAGAATATGTATTATTTCTGATTTACAGATCAATTTACAAATCATCTGCACAACAAATTGAAGAGAAATATTATTTAATGAACAACTGGTTGTGTACAAATAGATAAAATCTTATGACATGCAATAAAAATATTCCTGCTTTGGGTTATTTTAATTTAAATCACTTGTAAATGCATTTATATAGAAACAAGCTTAGTTTATTTTAAATTAATTTATATATAATTGTATCTCATACTTTCATATTAACATTTAAAAAATCCTAAGCATATGTGTAACCTAAAACATTCGTGCTTTGTTTCCAGCACCAAAAAGGAATGGCAAGCCAAATGCATTATCTCAGCATCTCCATTAACCCTACTGGCTGAATTTTGACTGACTAACCAACTGTTCCATCCATTTGCCTAATAGCATCCAACCACCCACATTATTGGCAGGTCTAAGCTACAACCTAATCCATCAAGATCAAAATTTCTAGAACCTGAGACTTTCAAGTGAGAATCTCTGGAGCTCCAATCCAGAACAGACGGCAAAGAAGAGGGAGTTAGGCTGGAAAATAAGGCCATTCCATACCCTAACTGAAATACCATTTTTATCCAGTGTCTTTTGTCTGAGAACTGTCTCCTGCTTGGAGAACTAATATTTAAATACTCCCTCTTCCCTCCCAGAATTGGGTATGACAGGAATTGGGTTTGGCTAGTCTAGAGAAAAGAAGGACTAGGGGTGACATGATAGCAGTATTCCAATACCTGAGAAGCTGCCACAAAGAAGAGGGGGTCAAATTATTTTCCAAAGCACCAGAAGGCAAGATAAGAAACAATGAATGGAAACTAATCAAGGAAAGAAGCAACTTGGACTTAAGGAGAAATTTCCTAACAGTGAGGAGGACAATTAACCAATGGAACAACTTGCCTTCACAAGTTGTAGGTGCTTCATCACTGGAGGTTTTTAAGAAAAGACTGGGCAACCACCTATCTGAAATAGTATAGGGTCTCCTGCTTGAGAAGGGGACTAGAAGACCTCCAAGGTCCCTTCCAGCTCTATTCTGATTGACTGAGATTTTTTTTTCCATATTTTTCCATTTGTTCTAAACCTTCTAGTTTAAAACAAGACTGGGCAACCTTTGGTAGCCCTTAGCCCTCATTTACAGAACTCAATGTGCCAAGATATCATGACAACAAAATTGAGAAGCAAAATGGCTGAATTTTGTCAACACAGTTTTTGGTGAGAAACTTAAAAATAAGAGTAGGGATATAACAGCAAGGCTCTAGGGGATGAAATATCAATAGCCTTTTGACTAGTATTTTTCTTAGGGTTTCCAGATTGTAGGTCATACTTTGGGACACTTAATACCTAATCAAAATGTTACAGAATATGACTTCATTTTATAGCTCTTATAACAAAAGCTGACAAAAGTTATATTTGTAATTCTTAAGGACAAAATGTTGCTTTAATACTTGTCCTTCCCCATAGAATATGCATTTCTTTTGCAATTGACTGTGATTTAGTCAGTTGCATTGAACTTTTCTGTTCAGATTAGTCAGATTCTGTCTCAGTTCAAAGGCTCTCATTTTAAATATGAAGCAAGTTGTTTATTCAAACATGAAAAATATTTCGGCTAGGCTTTTGAAGAAACTTCTTCATTAGTAGTCTTTATCTTATCTTATTAATAAGATTAGAATTTTAATGGTAATTGCATAAATTACTATCTGGTTGATAGTAATTCCTCCCTCAGTGAAGGTATCTACATAAGAAACTTATTGTCATGGATGATATTGTTTCATTCTATGGTTGATATGAGGAATAAGTTGGACCAATTAATATTCATGGTCTTCTTTGGTAGCACGATTAGCAGAGACTTACAGTTTAATCACTTCTACAAAGGGCTTTTTGGAATCTCAACCAAATACTACATTCTATTGTTCAGTATTAGTCAACAAATAGACACATACAATAGTATAATGCTGCTTTAATGAAGATGATAAACCAAAATATATCCAAAGCTTTAATTAAAAAATAAGAAGGATAAAGAAGCTTCCTATCTAAACCAAACCACTTAATCAGAATGTTTGGCTATAATATGAAATTCTAATTAATTTTAGTCTACTATATAAGCATAAACAAGCTAGATTAATATTGTGGTTTTATGACACCAGGTTGGAAAACTGGTGGTTCTGATTCTATCTTAGGCATAAGCCAGCTGGATGACTTTGGACCAGTAATTCTCTCTCAGCCTTAGAAAGAAGACAACAGCAAACCACTTGTAAAAATTTTGCTAAGAAAAATTTACAATGACTAGGGACTAGTTCAGGTAGTTACCATGACTTGAAGGTATCCCTCCTCCTAAGGGCAGAAAAAAATAGTAGTTTTTGCATTCAAATTACTATTCATTTATTTCATTTCTGCCAACAATATATTGGGCCTAGTAACTTTAATACTACTTTATAAAAATCATGTATCTAAAGGCAACATATAACTTGGGAAGCTCAGAGCTTCTCTGTAGGGATTCCCTCCATTACTGGGTGATTGGCATTATTGAAATCTCAAATAGTGGTCTACAGATTTATCTCACGACCACAGAGCCCACACGTTGTATATGGTTACATAAATGTAGGAAAAGATGAGGCAAAGCCTGGTGGTGGAATCAAAAGAGGAATCAGCCTGGAGTCATTATGTTCCTACAAGTCCAGCTCCCCTTGAATCCCTTAACTCTTACATAGAGCCAATGTAGTGCTGATAGTTAGTTGATTAGATTCTTGTGTATAGGCATGCAATAAATCATCTTAACTAGAACTGAAGGTGTGGTTCTGATTCTTTGCACCTGACAATAAGCACATCATTTAGGAAACTAATGAAATCATTTTGTATTGAGTATTCTGCCCCAAAATACATCTGTATATTTTTAGCTTCATAATGCTTAGCAAAGCAATATTAAACTTGAGTTTTTAATCATACTCTTAGTCAAGACTGGAAAAAAGCAAAAATGTATTAGCAGCCACAAATTCAAATTGTAAATTATTTTCTATATCTTTAGCCATATGCTAATGAAAATCTGCAAGGTGTATCTCTTACCATTATCATCTACAACTCTGGTCTGGTCTTTACAACAATCGGCTGGTAACCCAATAATTTCAACTTCAACAAATGGATCGATTATCTGCTTGAGACATTTTTAGAAACACAAAAACTGCTTGAGACATGTTCATAAATATCTAAAGTAGACATCCCATCTTTCTTATATTGCATCTATACATTTTAAGGAGGGTGTAAACTATTGCATTAGATTAGAGTGATATTATATCACAGCTTAGACATTCACAGTAAATGTTGAATTTGAATTTAGATGATGAAATGAGAACCATCTGCCAGAATTTTGCTAACTATATGTCTTGAGGCAACCATGGATTTTATTCACACAGAATATAAGTTCAGAAAGTTGAGAAAGCTGTAGGATAGTTTTGAGTATGTGGTGTACTTTAGGTGTGGGACACCTATACGCATTTAGATGTTGGCGGAGTAAAATCAGCTTTAGTCAACATGATTAAAATCAATGATGATGGGACTTGTAGTTACAGTCTCTTGCCCCTGCTTTACATTTCTTGTATGAGAACTTAAAAACTTGACATTAGATTTATTGAAGAAAAATCTTACCCATGACAAGTTGCAAAGCAACTGCCAAGCTGAAATAGTCTGTATTAGATTTGGTACAAGGGATTTATTTTTCGATACAAATATACAAATATTAGGTGATTATCATGACATACTAAATGGCTGGAAAAAAGTATTAATAAATATATAAATATGGAACAATTAAAGAACCACTGTCAATTGAACCAACAAATTAACTAAAGCTTTTTTATTTCAGTCCAGCAGTGTTTCCAATAATAGTCTGTGGATCATAACTTTTGCTTTAAAAAAAAAAACCAAAACCAAAACACAGGTCATTAATGAATCTCTTCTATTGTAAGCAAACAAACTCTTAATTCTATCACCAATATATTTTACCTCTCCTCTGTCTCCTAACATGGAATCTGGAGGTTTTGGTAGTTGTTGGCCACTGATGATTTTGAGTATAAGCTGCTTTTTAGGGAGAGCAGGAAGAGGATCTCCAGAATAGGGATTAAAAGTGCCTATGGATAGAAAAAATGTGGAAATGTATAATCTTAAAATAAGAAATACAACTTGTTTTGTGTACATTTGAGAAAAAAAACTACACTGAAGATTAAAAGAAAGAATAAAGCTAAGTTAGTATTAGAATTTAATATATAAACATTTATTCCTAGACAAAAATAAATACATTTGGGGTATTTAGATATTTTTGTTGTCAATCAAAATACAGCAAGTACAAAATGGCAGCAAATAAGCAAATACAATTCATTAGACATGAAATAAAAACGCAGATCCATATCAACAACTGTATTAAATGTTTAATTGGTTTGCAAAAGCATAACTAACTACATTTTTCATTTAACTCTCTCATCATTGAAATATGAATATTTCATTATATCATGCCTCTGCCTTGTATTACCTTTGCACATCTGTTGAGGTTTCAGGATGTATCCACAGTTGCCATTCAACCTGAACTTGGCTTGGTTTAACTGCATCACCCGCCCTTCAGACTGGTAATTTAATGCCACTATGGAATAAGCAGATATTATTTATAAAGTTTACTGGCCACAATCATATAGTTATAAGGCTTTATACTTATAGGATTAGATCCAATCTCAATTAGTTTCATTTAGTTCTTTAAAAAATGGTTAATTTATTAAAATTAAATTATTTGAAAAAATTCAATATGCATTTTAGATCAAATCCAAGCAGTCAAATTACATATTATCTCCAATAATAGTTCCAGTGATGAGAAAATAATTAAAGACATGAGAAAGATTAGCTTTCTCTCAGCTAACGCTTGTTACTTCCACCATGGGAGCAATAGAAATACCTGAACGGATGGTCCTTTGGTTCTAGTCAGTGTGATTTTTTCAGTGACACGCTTTTAATAAAGAAGATTTGTAGCTCAAGATTGAAATGAGGAGTCCTTGGTGCTTTCTGAACTTGGTTGTTTTCTTGCAGATGTTTCATTACTCACACTAGGTAACATTATCAGTGTAAGTGAAATCTTTTAGCCTGGATCCAATTCCTACCTATGCACTTTCTAGTCTTTTTAAACTTGAATCTAAACAAACAATGGATAAAGGACACTGCAGGAGCCCAAAGAATATTAGTAATAATTGTGTGGACAAGGAAGAGAAGTGGCCTGAATACTTCATACAGATATTAAGTAGCTGAATTAGTTATTAACGAATCAAGATACTGGGGCCAAGGGTACACAGCTTAAAGAAACATATCTTTTCTGTTGCCCATTCTCCAGGAGTATAGTACATGATTATGCATATTGGGAAGAGGTTTGCATTTCTCATAGTAAAAAGTTCATCCTTGGGTAAAAATGAAAGCAGAACCACCTAATCCTTGACATATGTGCATATGTTTAGTAATGTCAAATTGTCAGAGATCATCCAAGCCACTGAAGATAATAAACATATGGTAGTCTTCATCTTGGCACTTTCTAGAACTTCCAGATAGGACTAAATTTCTTTCACCAAACTGATTGACCGTTCTTGGAATTGTAGCCCAAATGTAATGTAGGATATCAGGTGAGACAAGTCTGACTTGATTCAAGAACAATGAAGTGCATTCTGAAATGCATTGGTTCTAATGAGACAGCTGATCAGTAAGAGATTTGATGCTCTGTTAATCCATAACTACTAAATCTTTTTATGGAGCAAAGGAAGCAATTTTCTAAATGCATATTTGTAAGTCTATACTTTTTGTACTATGTGAGCTACCCACATATGGAATGAATGTACTGTAGATAGATAATAAACAGGTGCATGTCCATGGGATAAAGAAAAAGGCTGGGCACCTATATAACTGACAATACCATGCATCACTCACCAAGCTGGCAGCCAACATTCCAATATGGTACAGGGTTAAAGTTGCTAGAGTCAATCCGATAGGCAGATGGGTAGATTCTGGTGAGCTGCTGCTGGTTATAAAGGATGAACTGCTCTGCTTTCTGCTGGATCACCTGATGAGCTCTTGTCTCACTGAAGGACAATACATTCCCCACTGATCCTGCATGTTAAAATAATTAACAGGAAAAGGCAGAGACAGGACAGCTTTAGTTTGCATTTAGTAGGATTTTAAAAGAAGTCATTGTTACACTGAAATACAAACATGCTAAATAAGTCTCTTTTGTACAGTATTTTATATTTTATACTTCTTGTTATCTGTTGCTTAGGACCATATGTTCAACTCACAATGGCTTTGAATTTATTTATTTATTAAATTTATAATCTGCCTATCTTATTATCCAAAGCAACTATGGAAGGAAGAGTTCTTTAGGATCTCATCTCCTTGTGAATATGATGGCAACATGATGCCATACAGCTAATAAGATTGACTACTCAGTGCCATCATTAATAATAATAATAATAATAATAATAATAATAATAATAATAATAATAATAATAATAATAATAATAGTAAAGTTGGAAGGGACCTTGGAGGTCATCTAGTCCAACCCCATGCTCAGGCAGGAAACCCTATACCATTTTGGACAAATGGCTGTCCAGTCTCTTCTTAAAAACCTCCAGTGTTGGAGCATTCACCACTTCTGGAGGCAGGTTGTTCCACTGGTTAATTGTTCTAACTGTCAGGAAGTTGCTCCTTAGTTCTAGGTTGCTTCTCTCCTTGCTTATTTTCTACCCGTTGCTTCTTGTTCTGCCTTCAGGTGCCTTGGAAAATAGCTTGACTCCCTCTTCTTTGTGGCAGCCCCTGAGATATTGGAACACTGCTATCATGTCCCCCCTCATCCTTCTCTTTGTTAAACTAGACAGACCCAATTCCGGCAACCGTTCCTTATATGTTTTAGCCTCCAGTCCCCTAATCATCTTTGTTGCTCTTCTCTGTACTCTTTCTAGAGTCTCAACATCTTTTTTACATCGTGGTGACCAAAACTGGATGCAGTATTCCAAGTGTGGCCTTACCAAGGCATTGAAGAGTGGTATTAATACTTCACGGGATCTTGATTCTATCCCTCTGTTAATGCAGCCTAGCACTGTGTTGGCCTTTTTGGCAGCTGCAGCACACAGCTGGCTCATATTTAGGTGATTGTCCACTAGGACTCCGAGGTCCCTCTCACAGTTACTACTATTCAGCAAGGTACCCCTTATACCAGGGGTGTCAAACTCAATTTCATTGAGGGCCTCATCAGTATTATGGTTGCCCTCAAAGGGCCGGGTGAGCATGGCCAGGTGGGTGTGGCCAGCTCAATGCTGCTCACTCAGTGCAGATGACTCGAGATACCTGGGTCAGGACAGAACAAGTTACACTGGCTAACTTGATGTAGGGACAACTAGTTGTCCCATAAGCTCTTCACCTCCCCAAACTTCTGGCAGCCAAGCATGTGCGTATGCACACGCACACACACTGCATTCCAAGTTTGGGGACTTTTATCCACAGAGGATGGATAAGGCCTTCTTCCCAAGCCCAGACATGATTGTAGTTTGTTAGTTCAGATGTGGATAGCCTCCTAGTCTCCAAGCTTGTAGTTTGTTAGTTCAGATGTGGATAGCCTCCTAGTCTCCAAGCTTGGAGAGTGTGTGTGTGTGTGTGTGTGTGTGTGTGTGTGTGTGTGTGTGTGTGTAGTTTCCTTCTTCTGCCTTGACAGATCTCTGGAAAGCAAGAGGAGGAGGCAGGGGAGCAGCACTTCCCAGTCCTGCATGAAGGAGGCTGGCTCTTCTTGAAAAGGAATCCCCATTTCCAATCATGCATGGTAAGGATGCTGGCTTGTTGGAGCAGCCTTCCCTCACGCAGCTTCCTTGCCACCTCCTGCTCCTCTCCAGAGATCTTTCAAGGCAGAAGTTGGACTTGGAGGAAACTGCTTCCTGGAAACTTTGGCCACATCAGCATCATGATTGCCTTCAAAGGGCCAGTTACATGTAGTAAGACTATTATATCGTATTAGTTCAGAAGTGTATTATGTTTAAGAAGTGGGACAAAAAGGATTAAAATTTCAAATATGAACAAATAAATTATTTATTTCAAATAAATCTGCAAAAAGAAATTTTAAACAAAGAAAAACACAAACTTTTTAGTTCTCTTGCCATTTTGTCCGAATTGGATGTTTGGCATCTTTTCTTGGCTACAAGTTCATCCATGTTTGGTGTTAGGTTTTGAGCTGTGGATACTCTCAGGATAGAGTGGAGGTGTGCATCAGTGAGCAGACTTCTGTGTGTGCTTTTGTTCACCCTCAAAAGTTGCTCACAGAGGTATGTACTCCCAAACATGCAGAGCATTTGAGCAGCTTGTAGACGGTATTGGGGCATTGTTTCAGGGATGAAACTGGTGAACTGTGTGGGTTCTACAGAATCGTACTTTCCCTTCAGCGTGCTATTACATTGGAGTTCTATCAGCTCCATCTGGATATTTACAGGTGTGCTCTCCACTTCAACTGAAAATGGATTGCTGAGCAATCCAAAACTGAATTTCTGTCTTTTAAAATCAACAAAGCGATGTGTAAATTCCATCTGAAGTATGCTCAGTTTATCAGCAAACTGAGCACTTGAGAACACAGTGGTGGAGACTTGTTTTTTTATTGTTTGGCAACTGGGAAAGTGACTCAAGTTTCCTTGTTGCATCTGAGTCTCCCACAGTCGCAGCTTTACTTGAAAAGCTTTCACAGCATTTGTACATGTCTGTGATCACACAGTCCCGTCCCTGAAGCTGAAGGTTTAGTGCACTGAGATAATTAGTAATGTCACATAGAAAAGCTAATTCGCATAGACACTTTTCATCCCACAATGCTGTGGAGTCTTTTCCTTTGCTTTCAATAAACTGACAGATTTCCATACGCAATTCAAAAAATCTATTGAGCACTTTTCCTCGACTTAGCCATCGCACCTCTGTGTGATAAGGGAGATCACCAAGTTCAGAATTTATGTCTTGAAGAAAAGACTTAAATTGATGGTGATTTAAACCTCTGGCTCTTATAAAGTTAACTGTCTGTATTACAGTGTGTATTACATGTTCCATTTTCAGGGCTTTGCCGCATAGTGTTTCTTGATGTATGATGCAGTGATATGCTATCAGCTCACCTGTGCATTCTCGCTCTTCATTTTTTCCTACATCCTTCCTACTAATCCACTCTTTTCCCCACACATTGAAGGTGCTTCATCTGTTGTGAGTCCTATAAGTTTGTCCCAGGGCAGTTTCATATCATTTATACTTTTGGATACTGCTTCAAATATGTCCTTTCCGGTGGTAGTGCCATGCATTGATTCTATAGCCAGAAGTTCCTCCATAATGCACAAACATGAGTCCACTCCACGGATGTGCTGTGTCAGAGACATCAGTGCTCTCATCCACAACAAGGGAATAAGCAATAAATTCTTTTCCCTTTTCAACCAATTGTCCTTGTAAATCAGTGGCAAGCTCACATATCCGATCAACAACAGTATTTCTGCTTAGGATTACATTCAAAAAGCTTGCTTTTGGTCTGGACACAAGACTTCACACACTTTAATCATGCAGCGCTTCAAAAACTCCCCCTCTGTAAATGGCTGGGCTGATTTAGCTATCTCTTCTGCCACTATAAAACTAGCTTTCACAGCAGCTTCACTTTGTGATTTTGCTTTTGTGAACATATGCTGCTGTGACATCCCACCTCTTTTGAAAGCATCATTTTTCAGAATTCACTTTCCGTTTGGCCATTTTGGGGGGTTTAAATATTGGCGTGCAAGTCTTCTTCCCTGCAGATGTATATATGGATGAGACTGGACAGAAAGCTCAAAGTCCCAGGTGCGTGTGAGGCAAGCAGTTGTGAGCATACTAGGTATCCACTCTGGTGGCTCAGTAGGATGCTGCAAGTCCAGATGTTTTGAGCAGGTTTAGCAATATCACAGCATCTATGGAGAGAAAACAAGCGACTGCAGCCCTGTTTGATACAATTGAAAATATATATTTTATACAAGAGAAATCCTGTATGGATGGAGGAAAAAATCAGCAATCCACCATCACTCCAAAGCTTATCTAGCAGCCACAAGGACTACTCAGTCTCTCTAGTTAAGCTTCCTCCATTTCTGATCAAATTCTGATATTTTCAGCGCTGCCTTCCAGTCTCTGATTGCAGGGGAGGGGTCAAGACACATCCAGCTTTCCCAAATAGGAAACAAGGAACCATCTTTTTCCAACAACTCTCCTATGTCCATGAAGCCCAGAAATAGAGCTCAAAATCCCTGAAATATCCTTCCAAAATTTAGCTTTCGCAAGCAATGCTGGTTAGATTTCTCAGGGTCTGTTGGTCTGCCCTTTGGGGGAGACCCAAAGCATCCCTCCATTGACTTCCACGCATTTTCCACAAAGCCTCAGAGCATAATGAGGTTTGGGGACCCAGGGGGCAAGGGGATGCCCATCAGTTATTGAGTGCCAGTTGTTTAACATGTGTGGTATGCCTATGAAGGGTTTTGGGCTTTGTGGCACTGGACCATGGAGCAAGGACTTCCCCTTTGTACTTTTAGTCCAGATCTTTGCTAGTGGGGAATTCTGGGAGTTGAAGTCCAGCTGTCTTAAAGTTACAAAGATTGAGAGATGGGCTCAATTGTTGTACATTTGCTGAGTTTTCAGTTTGTGGGGATGCTTCCCCAGAATGAGATGGTCTTGGAGCACCCAAAGGAACAGGAATCCCTCAGTCTCTCCTGCCTGCATATCCTCCCCTCCCTTCCTAGCTGACAACAAGGGGTTAAGGGGCCAGAAGCCTAATGTTGCTGACACGATTGCCTGGAGCCCTGCCCCCTCCAGCCCAGCATGGCTCCCTGGAGCCCTGCCCTCTCCAGCCCAGCTACAGGCTTACCATATGCCTAGCAGGCTGCGATGGCAACTTCACCTTTGGGCTCACAACTTTCCTGGGCTAGAGGAGGGGGAGGGCAGCAGAGCTCCTGTTGCTGCTACTGCTGCTAAGCAGCAGAGTAGCCTGACTGCTGGGCCAATGAGCAGTCGGCCGAGGGGCCAATGAGCTGCAACTGTTGCTGGGCTCCATAAGCCCACGTGTGCTTGCTTTCTTCGGGCCGGCGCCA